AATCCCAGCACTGGGGAGGCTAAGGAAGGGGGAATCATGAGCTTGATACTATCCTACACTACACGATGAGACTATGTCTCACAGGAAGGAAGGAAGGGAGGGAGGGAGGGAGGGAGGGAGGAAGGAAGGAAGGAAGGAAGGAAGGAGAAAAGGAAGTAGTGTAGTAAAACTTCATCAAAATGAAAAGGCACTGGATTGGAAAACTGGCCTGTGGGTAAAGATTCCTAGCACCCACTGAAAGCCCAACACAGGAACACGTCTATAACCAGAGCTGGGGGCAGCGTACACACAGGTGGAGCCTGGAAGAGGGGCACTTGCTGCCCAGCCAGTCTAGCAAAACAGAAAGCTCTAGGTCCAATGAAAGACATTTAGTGTCAACCTCTGGCTGCCACACTCCTCCACATGGACACACACACACACTTAAAATTTCTGTTCACCAAATGATCATTTAAAGTGATTTATTGGATATTCTAGAAAAAAAAGGTTTCACAAAACATATATGGCAATGGACTTGATTGTAGAATACATAAAGAATGCCAGCAAATCAGAAATGCAAAAAGAGCCCAATTCTGTAAGTCGGCAAAATAAACTGATCCTTCCGAAAGGACAAGCAATGAGCACATGAGAGCATGCCCAGTGCCAGCAGTCAGTAAGGAACAAACACAATCCAAATGAGAGCGCTGAGCTAGGAGCACTGACGGCATAAATGCTGGCCAGGACACGGAACAAGGGCACTCTACAGACACTGCTGGCAGGGGTGTACACAGGTACAACCACTTCACAAACCTGAGAATTCCCCAAGGAGCCAGGACATGTGACCTCTTCAGTGAGTGATAGCATTCACATGTGTTTACACACAGAGAAATGAGAATGTATGCACACAAATACACTTTTTCTAGCATAGTCACAGATAGATTATTCATAGTCCAAATAAACAGAGGTCCTGAGTTCAATTCCCAGCAACCACATGGTGGCTCACAACCCTCTGTAATGAGATCTGGTGCCCTCTTCTGGCCTGCGGCAGAATACTGTGTACATAATAAAAAATCTTTATCCCCCCCCCAAAAAAGGTGCAAACTCCTGATATAACAAAAGTAGGGATAAACTGCAAAAACATGCTGAACAAAATACACTGGACCTAACAAAATGTGTAGTACAATCCCATCATATGAACTGCTTTGTTTATTTTGAGCAAGGTCTTACTATGCTATCCAGGCTGGCCAAGTACTTGAGATTCTCTTGACTCTGTCTTAGTGCTAAGATTATAGACATATACTCTATTGTGTCCAAATACTTATTATGTGAAATTTTAAAACAAGCATATGTAATCTAATATATATATATATAAAAAAAACAGGATAGTAGGAATGGTGAGATTGCTGAGTACTTGATGCTCTTCCGGTGGACCCAAACTTGGTTCCCAGCACCTATATTAGGGAGCTCAGAACTCCGGATCCAGGAGCTCTGATGCCCTTCTCAGAACTCCAGGGCACCTGCATCCATGTGGCATATACACAGAGAGATACACATGCATATACATAAATAAAAATTAAAGTAAAATTTCCCTTTAATAAAAGATTTTTTTAAATAAAACATTAATTGCCAGAAATGGAATGGACAGTTGACTGTGGTTTGAATGAGGATGGCCCCAATATATTTGAATACCTGGTCCCCCGTTGGTGGAACTCTGTGGAAATAATTAGAAAGTGTGGCCATGACCATGGAGGATGTGTGTCACTGGGTGTATTTTTTTTTCCAAAATCCATGCCATTCCCAGGGTCTCTCACTTGGTCTCATGGTTGTAGCTCAAGATGTGCATCCTCAGCTACTACGCTAGCACCGTGCCTGCCAAGCTACTGCCATGTGCCCGCCATGATGACCATGAACTCCAGCCCGCTGAAACGGTAAGCCCTAAATAAATATTTTCTTCTTAAGTTTCCTGCTGTGATATCTTATCACAGCAAAGAAAAGTAACTAGGCACACAGAGAACTTTCTCAAGCAGCAGAGATATTTCATGTCATAATAGTATTGGAGGACAATGATCTTGTACCCTGTAAAGATTTGTCAGTTATACTGGTTTAATAAAATGCTGACTGGCCAGTAGTCAGGCAGGAAGTATAGGTGGGGCAAGGAGAACAGAATTTTGGGAAGGGGAAAGATAAAGTCTGCAGTCATTACTGAGACACAGAGGAAGCAAGATGAGAATGCCTCACTGCTAAAAGGTACCAAGTCACCTGGCTAACACAAACAAGAATTATGGGTTAATGTAGGACGTAAGAGTTAATAAGAAGCCTGAGCTAATAGGCCAACCAGACCTCTGTGTGTTTCTTTGGGACTGAATGGCTGCAGGACCAGGCAGGACAGAAATTTCAGTGGCTATAGAATACACATGTGCATAGTTCTGCTCAAATTCCATAAGTTTAGATTTGTGCATTTTAATTTACACAATTTTGCCTCAAGATATAAAACTTTAAGAACAGCAAGCAGAAGAGTTAGTGAAATGAATTTTAAGTTGTGAAGAATGGCAGTGGCAACTCTCCCCGAAGGGGTCTGTACCCATATTTGGTCTGTCTGTCTTTCCACAATTCTGCTTTGAGAGCCCCACACCTATGCTTTCAGTATGTCCTATCTTCTTCTTCCTAGAGCCTCTTTCTTAACCCTCATGCTTAAGCCTCCGACCCCACTTCATTAAGAGAAAAATAAAAGAATGTCAATCACGCGAGATGAAAGAGGCACTCTGTCAACATGATATGAAAAGTTCTACCCATTTAACCTCAATATCAATAGTCAACACCTCAGTCTGGTTAGAAAGATCTCTACCAGCAGAAGGTTCCAGACTGTACTCCTAAATTCACTTTGCCTTGCTCTCTGCTTCCCCAAATAAACAATGGTAGCAGTGAGAATAACAGTGTAACACACTGGCCTCTAGGCAACATTAAATACACTGGGACCTTAGAACAGGACAGCACAGACCACTCTGCAAAGGTCACCCATGATTCTCATGATCATAGCCTACAGGACATTATAGATCACTCTGCAAACGTCCCCCATGATTCTCATGATCGCAGCCTACAGGACAGCACAGACCACTCTGAAAATGTCCCCCATGATTCTCATGATCACAGCCTGCAGGACATCACAGATCACTCTGCAAACGTCCCCCATGATTCTCATGGTCACAGCCTACAGGACAGCACAGACCACTCTGCAAACGTCCCCGTGATTCTCATGATCACAGCCTATGTTACAATTTTCCATTCCTACCACTCACTCATTTGCTAGTAATTTTATGTCTTATCTGAGTGGTGTCCCTGCATCTCTAAGCAGATGACTTGAAACCAATCTTTCTGCTTTAACTCAAGAATAAATAAGTAAATAAACAAAGATTTACTTATCTGATAAGGACCAAGCTTCAGAGTTAATGCAGCCTACCACATATTACCTGCCACAGGTAGGGGAAGTCCTACAGTGAAGGAATTACTGTTATGATTTGTCCACAGGGGCAGTGTCCAATTAGAGCTAGGTCTCTCACCTCATCCTTCACCCCAGCACCTGTACTGTTTGTGGGAAGCATTCAAGCCTGCATTCCCAATCCCGCTTTTCCAGAGCTGGGGAGTTGGGTCCTCCGTTGAGCCCATGTAATGTTCCTAGCATCCTTCTGATGCACCCACCTTTCCTGTGCCAAACCCTCTGACTAGCAGCCAGTGACTATGTGGCACATGTAAGGCATGGATGTATTTGTGCTGTCGGGACCATAAAAGGTTTGATGAGAAAAGATTGAGTGAGACAGAATTAAGTAGAAAACCACAGGGTGACCACAGGGAACTCGAGCTGATGTTGTTTTACTGGATAATTAAGGCACAAAAGTGTACACAACCGAATCTCAAATATGTGTTTGATGACCGCTGACTCGGGGCTAAATTAGGGACGGAATGTACCCTTCTCGGCATAGGTGCCACTCAGGAGTTCTGAAAAATAAATTCTGCCTTAGAAAGAACACAACATCTGAGCCGGGCCCCTGGAAGGCTCAGATTATCAGTGGGCTAAAATCCTATGCACCAATTTACTTACGTTTCTTACCAGGAACCCTTATCAGCACATTTTACTAAAAGAAAATTTTGTTTCAATGTCAAAATGGTATTTCTGTGTGAGTCTCTGAAGAGAAGTGAAGGTATTTGTAAAGCTTATTCCATTTCTGGTCTTGATCCAGTCGAGTGGACTTGTTTCCCAAACTGATTTAGAACCAGTGATTGTACACAGGAAACAAGGTAGACACTACCAGAATTGTGAGACACTACCAGAATTGTGAGAAACTGGGAAGGTAAATGCTTTCTTGTCCTCTCGAAGACTAGCCACATTTCAAGGCATGTACCTTATGAGATACTCATCAGTTTGTGACCAGGAAGGTGAATTAACTTAAACATTGATCCCAATATCATGGTGGAGTCCAGATTCAGGTAAGCCACACTCAAGTAACTTTGTTTTTCAACTCTACAAGCCGGAGAACTAGTAACCTAACTGTCCATGACACGGAACCCCAAATCTTCGCAAAAAATAGTGCAGAGTCACGTCAATCGCAGTGACAATATACCAGGGAATGCAAAATAGAAGTTACTTAGGCAAAGCTCAAAACGGCTTCACTGTGAGGAGTGGACTCAAGAACTTTAGCAGATTGTGAGAAAGTGGAAAACAATCATCGAGTAACTCATTCAGAAGTTGTGCGTCATTTCTGTGTGCCACAAGCACCTGTTTGCGTGAACATTTTCCAGACACGGCTCCTAAGCAGGACAGACACGCAAACCCACCGGTGTCTGGCTGCACGGCCCTGGCAGGCAAGCTCCCTCCGAGGCCGTTTTCCACCGAGCTGCGAAGCTGGGAGGGGAGGTGGAGATGCGGGGTGCTGCCTCTGCCCTTCGACCCCACAGCGATCCTACCCCCACCCCCACCCCCGGCAGCGCGGTCCTCCCGCCCGGTCTGTCCCGCCACAGCAGACACTCACAGCTCTGGTCTCGTAGAGCACGAGCTTCTGGACCGAGCTGATGATGGGAGCAGCGGCCGTGGGCATGGCTCCAGCCAATGGCGGCCCCACTACAGGGCACCAGGCCGCAGCCCGGGTCGTGACAGCTGCCGGACCGTCCCCGGAGACCGAGGGAGGAGACTCTGCAGAGCCCGCTTGCCAGAACCCGCAGAGAAAAACCAAAGTCGGAGTGCTAAAGCTTTAGCAGCCGCGGCAGCAGGCTGCTTCCGGATTCCCCGAGTCACACCTCCCATCAAGCCCCGCCCACACGCGAGGGGCGGGGTTACAACAGGGGTACGGCGTTGTTGAGGGCGGATGCTAAGGGCGCCATCTTTGTTAAGGTCAGCCTCCAAAAAAAGAAAAATCTGCTTTATCTTGATTCTTAAGGAAAGGAGGTCAGGTGACTGGAGTCTCCTTTCTAATTGCTTTTCCATGTTGTAATTGGTCTCTTTCTTCCTGTCTACTCTATATTTTCCTGAAACCTATCTCAAAGTGGTCCTTCCCTGAATGCCTGTGATTTTTCCCTCTTTCGTCGCCTATTTTTTCCTGTAAGAGTCAGTAAAGTTCATGTGGCCCACGAATCTTTCCTGATCACTTCTGTGTGGCGCCGTTGGTATTTGCACATTTTATGTGTGAGGCTAAACCGTCTGTGAATTCTAAAAGAGACGGCGCAGTGTAGGGGAGCGTCCTGCTGGGGGAGCCGTTCTGCTTAACATAAGGCTCTTCCGTTTGTTCTGGACGTAATTGGACTGTAAGTAGACAATGTATGTACTCGCTCTGCTCCTCACTTCCACATTTGAGGGAAAAGGTGCTTTATAATAAAGGGTGTTATATTATGAACACAAAAGCAAACATTTAAGTACATTAAGCAAACATTTAATTCACCCGAATTACAGCGCCACCCCCAGAGGCCCCGCCCTCCAGGGCCCTGCAAGCCACCCACTGGTTTCCAGGGCAACCGCCCAACAGATACTTGGAGCCTCAGGAGGTAGCTGCTGCCGACCCGGTCCACAGGGGTCAGGTAAGCAGTCCTTTCCCCAGGGGTGGGAGGACCGTTGTCCGCTGTCTGGATGTATTTTGTGTAGGGAAGTCCGCTTTCTGTGGGGATCCCCATACCAGTTTTTTTTCCTTTCAAAACTCGACCCCATCTATTCATAAATCAACTTTCAAAACCGGTTCTCCTTTCATCGACTATTTATCTCACAGATGCAGGCCAAACACCTGCTACAGAGGGTAAGATAGTAGTGGCTAAGCTAGCCCAGGGAGGAAGTGCTAGGTTCCCCCAGAATTCACCGCTAGAGGGGTCGCATCCTGACAGGATAATAAAATTTAAAAAATGCAAACACATAGCTGAATGTGATACTAGAGTTTGCTGTGGATTCCGAATGGGGACATTACAGGATTTCTTAAGTATTTAGGTATTTATTATTAGTTTCCTTTCAGAGTTTGATCAATCTTTTTATTGAGAAACTAGAAAAAAGGCAGGAATGACAGTTCTGGAATTTTACCTGTGTGTGTGTGTGTGTGTGTGTGTGTGTGTGTAAGAGAGAGTAAGCGTGCATATGTAAAAGCCAGAGGTCAATCTGGATGTTGTTCTTCAGCCAACAAGCCCCAGGGAACAAGTTATCTCCATCTTAAACTGAATCTTTTAACTTTTTCATTTCATAATGGAAACCAACCCTTCCTAATGTAAGCTAAACATTTGCAGAATGTTTTGGTTTAGGAAAGTCACTTTTTACAAATAAACAATTCTGATTTTCAAATATTGTTTCTGATTATTGTTTTATACTACAACTAAACACTTCCCTTTTAGGACTTTCTTAGTGGGCATCATCTAGAAGCAGAAAGAAAAAGACAACTAAAAAAAAAAAAGAGTACCAAGCTACTTATAGAAGGGGCAATCCCAGGAAAAAGTGGCAAGGAAGGAAAGGAACTGGGAAGGGAGAATATTATCAAGCAAAGCTCTTGGTTATCTAAATCCCCTAGGGAATGAGGGGTGCATATCTTGGAACAGATATATATGCAGGCAAAATATAAATAAACATAAAATAAAATAAATAAATAAACAAAGAAAGAAAGAAACATATACTTGGGGGAGTAAGGTGGTGAGAAGGATCTGGAAAGAGTTGGGGTAGGGGGAAACAGTAAAAATTAGTGTAAGAAAAACCTTTAAAAAAGAGAAAGTTTACTTTAATAGTGCTAATTAATATAGCATTAATATAACATTATATTATTTCTGTTTAAATTTTTATGGTTACATTGATGTGATTAAATATATTGTTTTTTAGTTTTCAAGAATTGGGAATTTAAAATACATTCATAATTATTTCATTGTAATCAAGAAAAAAGTTTGTTATTTTTATTATTTACATAATATATTTATTGTATGGGTGAATTTTTTAGGTTCAAATATGTAAATAATTTACAAATGTTTGAAAAGAACATTAGATCTTTGTAAAAAAAAAAAAACAAATCCAAAAACTCACTGACCCAATTTATTTCTGATTCATTCCAACAAAAGCTACATAAATTAAGATCTGCTATAACAGACATAAAGTTTAAAGTGGAAGTCTGTGCCCATAACAGGTCACTAGCAAGAGCTTTCCAAAATGATTTAAATGATTTAAAGATCAGCTTTGTAGAAATTTAACAAGCAATGAAACATGTATGTGTGTATGTATATATATATTTTTTTCAGTTTGATTTTTTGGACATGTTGACCTTTCTTTTAAACAGCTTTGGTCATGCTGTTGCTCTCTCAAACATTTAATGCTCTGGACTGGTTGCAGGGCTAAGAACATTCACAGGGTTCTTCCCCATCCTGCTGCTCCATCAACTGCACGCCTTCAGCTCTTCTTCCGTTCTGTTCTGTAGTGTTTTCTTTTATGGCGTCTGCAGAGAAGACAGAAGAATGTCCTTTTGCAGATATCTTTAATGAAGACGAAACTGAGAGAAACTATTTGTTATCCAAACCTACCTGCTTTATTATATTTGGAAAACCAGTAAGTTATCTCTCTAACATTTAGTATTTTGTATTTTAAAATCTCAGTCTTATATTACCATACGAGAATGGAAATCACATCGTGTGTTCATATTTTCTTTAGTGTCTGATAGACTTTCATAATATCGCTTCAACTCTGATATAGTATTGGTTTTGAGTTCTTATGCTGATCACTAGAAGAGAAATCTCGGCTACACTGATGTTGGTTTTAATAGTATAAGGATATAACTTAACGAAACTCTGTACTGTGGTGATTGCTGCTGCTCTGTGATTTAAGGTTACTTCAGATTTGATATGAATATAAGATCTGCTTAGAAACTAGTCATGAGGCTCTCCGGATATGTGAGATGAACTGGGATGGCTATCAACACCAAAAGGTGCTGAGGGCAAATGGGAATGGAATGAATGAAACTTATGCCCTGGAAATGCTGAAGCATGCATGGGCAGCCCATATATGGTGGTTCAGATGAACTTGTCCATATTGGGTTTCATGTTCTAAGTTGATGAAGACAACAGACCAGGTCTCTTCCTCAAGAAGGCACCAGATCTCATTACAAGATGGTTATGAGCCACTATGTGGTTGCTGACAATTGAACTCAGGGCCTTTGGAAGAGCAGGCAGTGCTCTTAATCACTGAGTCATTTCTCCCGCCCGAGGGCAAATGGGTCTGTAGTGTATTAGAGAACCAGCTATTGTCTTCTTGCATAGTGGGAAGAACCCAGAAGGCACTGTTATAAAAATTGTTCACTTCTCTGCAGCTGGGGGAAGGACCTCCCGATAAGCTCTGCCTTCAGCCACTGAGCTAACTGACAGCTAGAGGACTGTGCTAGTCAATTAGAGAACCTTCCAGAACAGCCAAGGCCAAAAAAGAGCCCATCTTTGGTTTCATTTTTGATAGAAATCATAGGACAGGTAACCAAGAAACATTTCCAACAATTTTTATTAGAAACATTTTTTCTAAATGGTTTCATTTAGAGACAGAGGATGTTTCTAAAACCATGGTCCTAAACATCATCCCTGATAACACCCAGAGGCAAGTATCACTTCTTAGGAATGAGCTTGTAACTTTGAAACAGAATGTTCTCCAAACAGTCAGCTAAGAGATTTATCTGTTCTTCAACACTGCTGGGTGAGCGGGTGCTACAGTCACAGCAGTTAACGAGGCTGAGGCAGGAGGATCACAACCTTAAGCTCTGCTCTGGCTTCAGAGTGAGTTCACGGCCAGCCTGGGCAACTTACTGAGGCCCCATCTCAAAATAAGAAGCAAGCACAGGACTGATGATATTGTTCACTGGCCAGGTTCTCATTCACATAGCCACAACATGTTGGGAAAAAAAAAAAAGGAGAAAATCAAATTATTAAGTGGAAGTCACCAAAACTTCCCTTTTCTTTTTGAAGAAAATAAAATGACAAACCTCAATATATTTTATAAAGATTTATAATTAGAATTACAAATTTTTTATAATATCCCAATGATGTAGTGTTCTGATTTATATAGTTTCCTAATTTCTTCAATAATAATGTATTTAGATAAGCTCGGTGTGTGTGGAATATTTAAGAATTAGTGGAGAAAATGCAGTTCTAAACATGGAGGGCCCTCTTTAATTTATAGGGTAAACATTTATGTAACAATAAACATCGGTGGGATTCTTTGTATTGGTGCCTCTGCTTCACCTTGAAATGAAGGCTTTGCTGGGTTTTAATAACATTTCTCTTTTCAAGGGGTCTGGGAAGACAACATTAGCCCGTAATATAGCACAGGCTTGGAAATGTATTCGTGTTGAAGGTAAATTTAATTTTTTCCCAGTATTTAGTATGAATAATTTTAAAGATTCATGATATAGACTGCATAATGAATTCCAATCCAAGAGTCCATAATTAATGTTTTATCACATTTCCGTCATCGCACACCTCTCTCCCAGCTGACCATCAACTCTCTGGTAGCTTCACTCCAGTCATGCCTGTCAAATGCCTTTGACTCCGTCCTTCCTCCTTTATTTCCATCGGAATTGTTTGTATGTGTGCATGAGCACGTTCTAAGACAGAAAGAGAAAAAGGGAAACTGAAGCTTTTCTTCAGAGCATTCTTTATTACCTCAATGCAAAAAAGTGTATTTTTATGCATAAATTTCCTTATGTTCCTTGAAACATGTAAGTCAACAGGTTGATGCACGTGTGCACACACGCAAACACACACACACACACACACACACACACACACAGACACATCTTTCTAACCAGTAAAGC